ACGAAGGTCCCGTAAACCCATATTGTATATTTCTTTTATTTTTTAAATTGAAATAATTTGCGTTTATTAAATTATACAATAAAATAAACTCTCTATAAAATGCTTAAGTATGATATGAAATTAATATTTCTGGTCCTACTCACTAGTATAAGAAATAAAACACATAGACACCTAAGAAAAAAACACGGAAAAGGAAGAGGCTTATCTCAATCTGTAAGTAGCGTCGTTTACAGAATCTTCGAAAGGCCTACTTGAAAAAACCAGTTGATCAATTCGCTCGGTTCTGAATGAACGCACGACGATCCCGTTATCGTTTCGTCCGAGTGGGTCACCGACTCTTCGGACAAGGATTTTACTCGTGGTCGCTTCGATGTGCACGTATCGAACCTGTACGGTGAACAAGCCGTTCTCGTAGATTCTTGGTGGGGCCTGTCAGGCCCGTCTCACCTTCTCCAGAGATCGTCTCAGGCACCTATACCATTCTTAATACTATTCATAAATTATAACAAATTTTTAATTCGAATTGCAAGAAACTCTTAGAAAGATTTATTACACTTTTATCAAAAGAAGTATATTTGCAGGTCAGAAAATATTTTACTTCAGAAATTTTTTTAATATTCGGGTTAAACTAACAAACTGTGATTAAAGTTCAATTAATCACGAAACCTGAATGGAAGATAATTCGTAGTGATGCATACTGTATTTTCCACTCATGTCATTTTACATATCTCAAACATAATCTACATACTGGCTACGTTTGTAATATAAATTACATACTAATCTATTTTAAGTATCAATATAAGGATAAAAAGAGACAGGGGGAGATCTTAAAAGTAGCACCACATTTCTGCCGTCCCTGGAAACCAGATGGGGTCTGAAAGTGCCCCGCGTGCTCGCCTTCGAAGAACATATCCATGCAGTATTAGTCTTCACGAGAACGAGTAACCTGTCGTATCTTTTATCTCTCTATCGTTGAGTATCACGTTCATCAGCAATAAAGACGTTTTCGCGAACTCTTCTCCTTCGATCAGCGCGGTTGACAGTAGTTCTTGGACGTCGTCGTTTTGTGAAAAATCTCGAGCGAAAAGGAAACGTTTCGAGGGAACGTTTCAAGGCAAATTGGTACTTGATCATTCAAGTTTCAGCGTGCTAATCAAAACTGGATCGACAAGTATGAAGATCGCCACAACCTTATTCTTCTTCGTAGTTGTTGGTACGTACGAACTGTCTTTTTTTATCAAAACGCAGCTCCCTGGATTGATATATGAATCGGGTCGTAAAATAATTTTTATTAATCGATTTGTCTAATGAAAGCAAAGTTGATTGATTCAACAGAGTTGTCAGATGATGTTTCTAGAATTAATGTTTTCCAATGATAAAAATCTCGTTTTTTTATACAGTATTTCATTGCATTCTACACACATGGAAAATAATTAATAAAAATGGGTGAGAATGTGGACATGTCACTATGTCATACAAATTGGTCAATCTGGAAATTAAACAAGGTTTCTAGGAAATTAGGTTGCTTTTATGACCCTTTGAATATACAATACGTACATGTATGTATGTATTGGCAGCTGCGTTTCTAATCGTACAGCTAATACACTTGAAAATTCATATGCAAATATTTGCACGTTCTCCATCCATGGAATTACATTCCTCATGTAAGACTTGGATGTAGAAGTGCCAATGATAAGATTCGATTGAAAAATTCCTATTTTCTAGAATGTACTATATTCCTAAAAATTCTTTATCCTAAATGGAATCTTAAATAATAAATGTCGAATATGCTTGATGGGTTGATGCTTGTACAAAAATTATACTATTTATTATTACTATATTTATATTTAATATAACCAGTTCGCAATACGAAAATATTTTGCAATTGGGTTACCGTTCCAATTAATTATACATTATTTTATACATATATTATTGTATAAAATCTTTAGATATAATGTAAAGATTGAGAACTGGTTTTCAAGGTATCTTTACTCTTTCTGGGCATTCGGCAGGTTTTTAGCCCTTTTTCTATCATTCACGCTTTGTATGAAGGCATATACATACGTCCAGTGTTCTGTGCTATCGAGCCCCGACTTACATATCTTGACTGACTGCACTATTTACTCGAACTTACTATTCTCTCAAACCTTCCTGTCATTCGATCTTACTACTGCTGGTCTTTATTACACGGTCTTCAAGCAGTTACCTTCTTTCACAATACTAATAATCTTCTATGTAGTACTAAAGTACGTCTTTAAAAAGCGAGAATTATTATTCGTCTTTAGGATTGAGATTCTTGTAAATACGATCTGACGACTATGTGAAAGGATATTGTGTTTTCAAATGCATTATCGTGCCATGATATTCGTGGTTCAGGAGATGCAATTTTCGATAATTTTACGGTTTTCTTCGCGATGACTTAACCGTGACCAATACGTGTTTTACGTTACACCACTGTTTTATATACAGTATTACGAATGCGATGTTTTGTGAACTTGCGAAACTGTATGAAAGATATAGATAGATTATATCTGATATATGTCAATGATTTTCAATTTTATTATACGATCTTTAAACCTCTGTTGCTCGTAATATTATTACTTATACAGTGAAGTCCATAAATATTCGTATAAATTTCAAAGTTGAACAACATTTTTAATATTTACTAATATTTAATATTTATTTATCTTTAATACTTATTATAATAGTTGATTACATGATGTGTACCAAGAAATTAAAAAGTTGCTGTAGTCGGATTTACGAAGAAAAAAAGGGTACAGTTATTAAGCTTTTAATATTTATGAACTTCGCTGTTAGTATAATTGATGGATTTTCAAAATATGCTATACGATTATTTTACTACAAATAAAATAAAAGTTAAAAAAAAAGCATTTTTCACATTTTTGCTCACAATTTTGATGAATATTTTTCTTTTACATTTTTTTTCTAATACTTCATTTAGTAAATTAATTCTTCTGATTCCATTGAAATCGAATTAAATTTAAAAAGATTTATTATTTTAACCGAGAGTGTACGTATTATTGACTAGTCGAGAGAATGCTGGATATAACGACGACGCGTCGAGCGGTTGCATTCGGACGAGGACGGAATCATTGAACAGAAAAAGTAACAGTTAAAGTCGATCGCACGCATCGGCGCGAACTAGAAAGTGCGAAACCATTAGTTTTCATTGCTAAAAATATTGATAACAGAGAAACAGAACGAACCCGCGACGAAAGTAAGCAATTGTGGCTTCGTCGTGTCGTGAATTATATGAACACGATATCGAGAAAGGGGATTTGAAATCGAACCGATCTACGTCATCGGGGTAATTACATATTTTCGTACTATCGTTCTATACCGAACAGTTCTCGATGTAATACGCAAGAAGATATGATTAAAAAGCATGGTAAAGGGATCCAGGTCATAGAAACTCTTACTAGTGTTACGACGCTTTTTCGTCGTGACGTACATGTTCGTTATTATCGTGTCAATTCGAATGCGACGCGTAATGCTGCAGCAATCTTAGAAGTAACTTTCTCTGTATATGTATCAAAACTGTAACTTTCACGTTACGTCGGGATCGATTGATAATTAACACGACTCGTTGCAAAGATGCGATTCGGTCAGTGAAAGAGAAATATTTATAATATATCTATCTGTACTTTATAACTGGTCTGTGGATAAAATTGCTCAACATTCAATATGACTTTTAGAATCGATTGAGCCATTCAGAATTCTGTGGGACGAGAGTTTCTTAATTTTTAATAATGTCGTTGGACGCTCGTCCACTACTACGTTATTTGGGATATCGGGTCAGCGACGGGTCTACACGAACGTTTTCATTTCTGACAGGTCACTTTCTACGCATCTCTAAGTGACTACCTATGATAACATTGCTAATCCGTTTTTTTTCCTAATTCTTTGAAAGATTAGTTCGTCAAACTTTTCATCACGAAACTTTAAGCACTTATATAATAATTAAAAAATAGTTAGCATTATAT